CTCCAAGGTTCCTCACAGCGTTACTGGAGGCCAAGGTAATGCCATCCAGAGTAAGAATCTGCTTAGATACCATATTTCTAAGCTTTTCAGGGCCGAGTACAATAACCTGAATAACTGACTGAGAGCACACCAGGTGAGTTAGTCTTATTATAGTAACGCAGACACATGTGAGTCTGCAGCTGTCCTGATCCTTGTCTCCGTTCACCTGCCTGACCTGTGGAGGGCAGCAACACGCAAACCTAACAGAAGACGCCAAAGTGCTTCCGGTGTGTGTGCTGGCTGTCATGGCGGCTCCCTGTCGCAGGACTTTTTCACGATGAGCTGAGTGGACAGCGCGAAGAGAGAAAACCAGAACGACCGGAGGCGGATGTCGGGGTTGCTGAGGTACCGTGACGCTCCCTTCTCTGACGCTCTGCTGCTGGGTTGAGTTGACCGTAGTTCCGACGTAGAGTCCTCCGGTTTTGACGTCAGGCAGAGCCAAGCGTCACTCAGAAACCCTGCGAGGTAATGTCACGTGAACGAACGACACCTGAGGCTTTAGGTGAGCTGCTCGGTTCAGTTTTCACGTTCGGCTCTGATTAAACGTTTCTTTAATCAACGTCTTCCTCTGCAGGCCGGAAGTTCAGCCGAGCTACACCAACACTGCTGTTTAACAGCTGTTAGTTTTCATGTTTTTCACGGATCGATGATTCTTCGTTATCGGTTTGAATTTTTAAGTCTCACTTTCACATTCGGCGCCCGAATTAACGAACCTATCCTCCTGAGTCCTCCGGTGTCAGTCCGTAAACTCTGCTCCAAACTTCATTTACAAAAGACACATTTTTACGATTTGTGGTGCCGAGATGTTTTAGAACAAAATGTAAACATGTGTTCCTGATGTGTTAGAGCACTCGGGTTAATTCGGCATAGATGTAGTCCACCACCTGCATCCAGCTTTCATCTCACCATGTTTAATATGTAAACTTCATATGCTGCTGCTTCAGGCAGAGGACTGGACAACCACACGTGGAGGGTGGGTATTTTAAAACTGTCAGCTGAGGATATTAGATATAGAACTGTATATACCCCAAACAGTGTGTGTCAGACACTCGCCTGATTGGCTGCTGCTTGTCAGGATGTGTGCGGGTATATTACCTGCAGAGTTTGTGGGCTGTGAGGCCGACAGAGAGGAACAGACACACTCCTGAGTGAAAGGATCGATGGCTGGCCCCGCCCACTCAGTGAGACCGCCTCCCGATGATGATGATGATGACGTTTTACCTGCAGATGTTTGCTCTCTCGCACGTTAGGCTCACCTGTCCCTCTGCAGCTATGAGTGTGATGTCTTCGGTGATACGGGGTACCCGGCGGCTGGTGCACGCAGACCCAGCTCTGTTCAGTAACTTCCCGTTTCCGGCCGTATTCTGCCGTGCCGGGAGCGCCGACTCTCTCCTCACCTGCCAACCGAACAGGAAGTTCGCCTTCAAACATGTGAGTTTCTTCCTCCTGATGATGTTCATTAACAAAGACGCAGCATTACAGTTCCTTCGTCTGTACAAATAACATTTTAGTGAAAAAAATGAAGCATGTCATAATATAGGTAATTTTTAACTGCAGGTCAAAGGTCAGAAGAAAGAGCAGAAGACCCAGAAGGTCAAACCCAAAGTGGACAAACAGGAAGTTGAGATCCGACAGGGGATGACGGTGGCTGCACTCGCTGAAGCCATGAACAGAGACTTCGGTAAGGATGATGACAGACAGTTAGACAGAATGCCGGTTTAAGGCTCCTCCTCGTGCGCCTACTTGTCCGACCCTGGAACGACGTCGATGTTTTAAACGGTCTGTGGCTGGAAGCTGTTTTAAATAAAGGTCTATTTGAATCTCAGACCACGTGCTGGAGGCTCTGCTGAACACATCGGTGCATCTGGACTCTCTGGAAAAGGACACGGTTCTGGAGGAACGATGGATTAAAGAGGTGGTGACACAGTCAGGGATGAAGTTCAGATGGGCCAAACTGAGCGCGAGCAGAGAGCGACCCAACAGGGACGCCTGCAGGAGGTGACAAGAAGTCTCTGATCACGTGTATGTAACTCGTCTCAGTGGTTTGTAACAAAATAAGGTTCTCCGTTACCTACAACCTTCACAGACCGCCTGCTGATCCCACCCTCCTGGTGCCACGGCCCCCGGTGGTCACCATCATGGGTCACGTGGACCACGGTAAGACGACGCTGCTGGACAGCCTGAGGAAGAGCCAAATCGTCTCCACAGAGGCCGGAGGCATCACGCAGCACATCGGGGCTTTCCTGGGTAACAGCACGCTCTAAACTTTATTTAAAAACACCCAACGACAGGAAACGAAACAAGATTTTTTTTAAAGACAAACTTTAAGAGCAAACAGAAGAAAATGTAATTAAATCATAAAATCTGTCACCAGACTCTGCTGATCGATTATTGAATGTTGTTTTAATAAGCAGCGTTTGCAGGTTTGTGCTCGTTTACAGACAGTAAACTTTTTCCTGAAGCTTCGTTCCCGCTCTCGGATCTTTTCTTCCAGTCCAGCTGCCGACAGGTGAGAAGATCACCTTCCTCGACACTCCGGGCCACGCCGCCTTCTCCTCCATGAGAGCCCGTGGAGCCAACGCCACCGACATCATCGTTCTGGTGGTGGCAGCTGATGATGGCGTCATGAACCAGACGGTGGAGTCCATCGAGCATGCCAGGAGAGCCAAAGGTGGGAGCTCCACCTGACAGTCGCAGCCGAGGGCTCAGAGCGAAGCTTCGCCCCGTTTCTACTGCTTTTACTGGATTTCTATTCATTTTGTTTTTATGCTCTTCTACTGCTGATTCTACTGTTCGTCCGTGTTTCAGTCCCCGTGATTGTGGCGGTGAATAAGTGTGACAAGCCTCACGCCGACCCTCAGAGGGTGAAGCAGGAGCTGCTCGCTCACGACATTGTTTGCGAGGAGTTCGGGGGAGACGTTCAGGCGATTCACATCTCTGCTCTGAAGGTGAACTCATCAATCAAACAACACATCACGTTGTTTTCCCACAATGCAATGCACAAAGAACATTCCTATTGGTCAGTTAGTACAACAGACAGGTTAACGGTAAAGTAATGAAAGCAGTTAATATGGCTTCCTTAAAATATGAGATCATTACAGTCGACCTGTTGTTGCTGTAGACCAATGATGTCATTGATGATGTTGTCAGGGTGATAACCTTCTGGCTCTCGCTGAGGCCACAGTAGCTTTGGCAGAGGTGTTGGAGCTAAAGGCGGAGCCTACCGGCCCCGTGGAGGGACTCGTCATCGAGAGCAGGACCGACAAAGGCAAAGGGTAAGTCCTTCACAGTGCTAACTCTGGTTTACTGGAAACATGAAAGAGTCAAACAGGCCCAGTGTGACCAGTTTGGTCTTCCCAGCCCGGTCACGACAGCCATCGTCCAGCGGGGGACGCTAAAGAGAGGCTGCGTGTTGGTTGCTGGGAAATCCTGGGCTAAAGTTCGCTTCCTGTTTGATGAGAACGGCTGTGCTGTGAGGGAGGCGGGGCCGAGTACTGTGGTGGAGGTGGTTGGCTGGAAGGAGCTGCCGTCAGCTGGAGAGACCATCCTGGAGGTGGAGTCTGAGGTGAGTGGGATATAAACAGGCTCCGCCCAAATGAAATCACTTCACATGAAATAGAATAAATGTTTTATTAAACAATAAATCGACAGAGGTTGTGTTCATCTCAGCTGATGCTTCGCCTACAAGAATGGAAAAAAGGAGAAATATTAAGTTTGCGTTAAAAATCTCTTCAGAACATTTTGCTGCGATGTTTGTTTTCTGCCTCCTCTTTGCAAACTTTGCTCTTCGTTGTTTTTTTGCTCTGGTTTTAAATTTTGGGAAATTTAAATAAAAATCCAGACTGGATTGTTGGTCGTTGGTTTCCTTCGTGAGTCAGAGATGACCATTTCCTGTCAGTCCCTTCCACAATAAAAGCTTTCCTCCTTTGGCTCCTGCAGCAGCGAGCGCGGGAGGTGGTGGAGTGGAGAAGTCACGATGAGGAGCAGCGGAAACTGCAGGAGGAGCAGAGCGCGATCGAGCAGAAGCAGAAGCTCCACCTGGAGGAGTACCGCAGGGAGAGGGAGGGGCTGTCCCACCTGAGCTGGAGGCAGAGGAAGGTGGCGCTTTACCGGGCCAACAAGACCCGCTTCGCCACGAGGCCCAGCGAGAGGATGCAAAGCGACCAGCTCAGCCTGCCGCTCATCGTCAAAGGTACGCACTGAGCCAGCTTCAAACAGGCTCCGCCCACTGTGATGTCACTCTAACTGAACAACCGTTGACCCAGGTGACGTGGATGGCTCGGTGGAGGCCATCCTGAACATCCTGGACAGCTACGACGCTCAGCAGCAGTGCGAGCTCGAGGTGGTCCATTTCGGCATAGGAGACATCTCTGAGAACGACGTCAACGTGGCCGAAATGTTTGGAGGTACGAGCAAAGGACGCCATTCCAGATGTTTTTATTCATTTTGTGTGCAGCAGATTCTTCTGACCGCAGGCTGGTTTAGTGTGATTTCATGATGGGATTAAAGCTGAGAGCAGAGAACGCCTTCTTACAGAGTGTCTATGAATGCATCACAGGGTACCTGAGTTTAAAATAAATAATAAATCTCCTGCTCCACCTTCAAACATCGTGTGGACTGTCCTGACTGGCTGCGTCTCGCCATCAGGCTCCATCTATGGCTTTAACGTGGCGGCGAACCGTGGCATCGAGCAGCTGGCAGCGAGGAAAGGCATCCCGCTGCGCCTGCACAGCGTCATCTACAAGCTGGTAGATCAGCTGAAGGAGGAGCTCAGCGCCAAACTGCCACCACTCGTCTCAGAGAACATCACAGGTGAGTCGGCACCACACGGTCATGTGACCACAGCTGAGCTCAGGTGGAGTGGAGGGGTATCAGTGAGATCAAAGTCAGCGTTTCATCCCTGCTAAATCACCATGGCAACAGGTAGCATCAGCTGAAATGTTAATCTTAATTTTACCGCCTTACGGCCACCAGGTAAACGCGTCTCCATCTGACGCTTCTACCGTTGTTTTAAATCATCATCATCTGATTGGAGCACGTGATGCTCAGAGGTCATTTATTGAGGAAAACAGAAGCAATGTGAGCACGCTCAGAGTGCAGAGCAGAGGCAAGATCTGCATATGTTCATTTTGTTTCTAGCCACACCCCCTTAGGTCACATGTCAGAGGAAGATGAACCTGTGAGGTCAGTCACACATAACCTGTTCCCCCCCGGTGCAGGTGAGGCGTCGGTCGTCGCCATCTTTGACGTCACCGTGGGAAAGAAAAAGGTTGCCGTGGCCGGCTGTCGGGTTCAGAAAGGTCAGCTGGACCGACGGTTCAGGTTCAGGTTGATCCGAGGCCGGGACACCGTGTGGGAGGGTGAGTGAGACCGGAGCTGGGGTCAAGCAGCAGGACTGGACCGTGTTGTTCTAACGTTCTCCTGATGTTCCCGCAGGTTCTCTGGCAGCAATGAGGCACCACAAAGATGACATGCAGACGGTGAGGGCGGGCATGGAGTGCGGCCTATTGGCTGACGGCGACGTCGACTTCAGAGCCGGTGATATCGTCGTGTGCTTTGAGGAGGTGGCGGCGCCGCAGGTCACTTCCTGGGACCCCGGCTTCTGAACTCCCATCATGCACTGCTGCGCAGCGCTTCTATCACAGACTCTCAGACACAGATGAACCTGATGTTTAGTTTCAGACGTTTATTGAAAACTGAACAGGAAGTGGTTAAATTCAAACTGAAGCACAGACGTGTGTGAACATCCTGCTTTCTGACTGGACAGAACCTCTAATAAAATATACGTGTGATTGTCTGAACCAATCAGGAAGTTCATCAGGAAAGAGTAAATGTTGTTTGTGATTAATATTCTCGCACCCAACGGAACGCTGAACACTCCGCTTTCAGCGTTCCATCTCATTTCTTCTTCTTGGGCTTTGTCGGTTTGGCGAGCAGCAGCGGGTCGATCTCATCTGCACTCAGTCCTCTGATGGCGAAGAGTCGAGCAGCGCGCTCCGACAGCGTTCCCCCACACTTCAACCCACGAGACATCAGTTCTTTTTTCAAGACGTCCAAACCCAGAGACTCCAGCTGCTCGACAGACGCCGCCGAGAGCAAATCCAGCTGCTGAAGAACAACAAGAGTTAATGATCGCAACATTTGACTGCTCGAACATACTGCAGTGGTTTGTATCATATCTATCTAATAGACTCCAGTTTGTGCATGTAAATGGAGAGTCCTCTTCACACACTGAGGTTAATTATGGAGTT